AAGCAATCTCAAAATATAATCCTTTTAGTAATACTCTCCACATTTCTACTAAGTTATGAATGCAATTCAAGAAGGAAAAAATATCTCCATAATAAGAGTACATATTTAAAATACAAAATACTTTTTTTTCAATTAAACTGAATGTGTTCCTTGCATACGTTCTAAAGTATCTTTCCTACAAATAAATCAAGATAACCTGAGTTCTGCATCTCATTTTGAGGTCTACACTGGAAGGATAAAATACTAGATGATTATTCACATCCTTCAACCAGAATTAAATACACTGGGTCTAATACTTCTCATACAATAACTTGTAAAAAAAAAAAAAATCTATACCATTAAAAAGACAATATGCCTAAATGTAAGATTTATATTCAAATGTAGACTACACAAACAATGGAAAGAAACACTGGCATAGAATTCAGAGACCCAGGTTCTAAACACTTCTCAGTAACTAATTAGCTTTAGGTCCTCAGGTAAATCTCAGAATTCCCAGAGTTGTCTTCTCAAAGTTAAACTACATGATCTCCAAAGCTACTTCAGTTACAATATTCCAAAAATGGCAAGGAAAGGCAACACCTAGAACACATTATACCACTAAAAGTATGACTCTTTGGCATGATACCAAATAAAGAAATAAAGGAAATTTTAGAAGTGTGTTTATCCATATAATCTTTGAATTTTACAGTTCCAATCAAATGAAACAATATTTTAAAGTTAACAAATTTACTGAAATCTAATATGCTTGCTATTTATTCTTTGGTGATATTCAAACTAAGGAAGTAATTTGAGTAGAAATCTGCAGTATTCCTAATATAATTACTCTTTTTATAAAATGTTTTATTGAGCATTTAGGTAGGTATTGTGGTAAGTATTCAAGATGCAATGAGGAACAGGTTGGACATGGGTCTTCCCTCATGGATCTTGCAGACTAAAGAAAGAGGAGGACAATAAAAGGGATGAAGGCGAAGAAGGAAGAGATCTTTACAGCCAAAGAAGCAAATACATTTACCTTTTTTGCCTCTTGAGGAAATACTTAGCACTGGATTCCCCAAATTAAATGTGCTCTTCTGTAAATAACAGAGCACTCAGGACGCAGCCTTGTGCTAAAGAGCTGTTTGACACCAGCTTTTCTTTTCTTTGCTATCATAAAATGATACCTTAAGATCTGGGACCAACAGTGGATACTTTCTAGAATGATCATTCCATCCTAGGAGTGCCTGCCTGCTCTAGATTTGAAATTGGCCCACATTTTCTGGAAATGTCATTGCTACTTCTCATTTCTTTCCATTATTTCAACCTATACTCTGATCTCTGCCTCTGGCCCTGCTTCTCTTTGGGGCTTTCTGTCCAAATAGGACTTTCCAGATATCAATCCCAGTCCTGGAAACTCTTCCAATACTTCTTCTATCTTGCCTAACTAGGACTTTGTATGCCCATCTATTCAGAAACCAAACTTTGAGAAAGTATCTTCTAGCTTGTCTTGAAAATCCTAGACATCTCCTTCTCTATCACTCCATCTGATATAACATTAAACATCTCTTGCGTATTGTCACCAAAACATTTCTTCAGTCTGTCCCTTCCTCTGAATCTCTACAATGTCCTTAGTGTGGATTTTCACCCCAGAAACATTGGTCTCACCCAAAGACCTCTTGCCTGGTCTCCCTGCCTTTTATCTTCCCAGTTCTAACCCACCCTTCACATTACTATCAGAGTAATGCTTCTGAAATATGAATATGAGTATATCAGTATCCTGTTCAAATCTCCTTTGGGGTTCCCCTCTAAATGCAGAACTGAACTTAACCTTTTAAATGGCATACAGTGCTCTTCTTTGTGGACCTATTCTCTACCTCCTTCTAGAGCCTCATCCCTGCCATTCTCTACCTCACACTTTCATACTGTAGTGCTGCCAGATCCCTTGGGGTTTCTTGGTATTTATCACGCTATTTCTCTTCCATACCATTCCTACAATTGTTTACTCTGCACACATAGTATTTCCTCTTTATCTGGCCAGCTTTAAGATTCATCTCAGGGATCAGACACCATGACAGTTTCTGCATACCCGTATCACAGCTTTTATAGATAATACTGCAATTATCTATGTATCAGCTTTTGTAGAGGAAAAAATGTTCTTCAAGAGCACGGATCATGCCAAATTCATTATTATGCCCACAGGACGTAATATAGCATCTGGGACACAGTAGCTACTCAGTAAATTCTCTGTTAAACTGAATAAATTTGGCCTCTAAATACCTTGTTGGGATTTATGACAAAAACAAATCCCCCAGGGAGACAAACCATAAGTGACTCTTAATCTCACAAAACAAACTGAGGGTTGATGGGGGGAGGGGGGTTGAGGGGGGTGGGGTTATGGACATTGGGGAGGGAATGTGCTATGGTGAGTGCTGTGAAGTGTGTAAACCTGGCAATTCACAGACCTGTACCCCTGGGAAAAAAAAAATATTTTTAAAAAAAAAAAAATTAAAAAAAAAAAAAAAAAAAACAAATCCCCCATGTATGTGAACTGCTTGTCTCGTATTGGTTAATGACTATCTCAATCCTTTTCCTCCCTGTAATGTATTGTTCTTACCATTCTTGGCTTATCTTATCTGTGAGCCTGGCCCAACTCCTAGCTGGCCTTCATATTTATATTAGGCAACCAATCCCAACAAAGCAACAGTGACACTATCCTCACCCAATCCTCTACTTCTTCCAGGATTAACACTAACAGAAGAAATTCATTTGGCAGATTTATGAAAACAATTATGAAACGCCCTGAGAGGTCCTTCTAATACTGCAAAATGAAAGCATGGACTAGCAGAATAGCAATTCTACTTTCCATATAGTTTTTGTCCTCTGATTTCAGATCTTATCTTCAATACTTATAGAGCTGTCCAGTCATAGTTCATGGGAATTACAGTATTGCAGCCCATCAATAACCTAAACCATCTTTCTAGTAAATAGATTCAATTCCTCCTTAGTCAGTTGGTCAGTGTGGTATTGCTTATCATGACCCTTTTACACTGTAGAGGAACACTTGTCTCATGCAGTATTAAAACTCGTCTGATCAGAAGTTCAATCCCATTAAATGATAAGGGAAAACTGCTCACTGGCTCCCAAATTAAAGAGCTATGATTAAGAGTCATCTCTGGCTCTCATAATTTAACTGATAATAGCAGTGAAAGCTTTCTGTTCAGAAATGATAAAGATTTTAACTTAAAAGAAAATTCCAAGTACATTGCTCTTGTTGTCACAACTGAGGAGTCGGGAAAAAGAAAAAAAGAGAAACGTTTTTTAATGCACAACAAAAGTTTCTAGCCCCAAATTTCTGAGACAGCAAAACATGTATTTCTAAATTTCTATGCAGGTGGCATAAATACAAGTTTGCATTTGGTTTTATCAAGATGGTTAGGAATGAACAGCATCACTGTACTTAATGTAGGAGGAAAATTTTACAAGGTTGGGTAAATTTCAATGGTCAATCATAATGCTGCTAGTTTCTTATTAAGAATTTTTTTTTTTAAGAGGTTTCTTTAATGCACAGCAGGCCTTCAAAGGTGAACCCTGTCTTTCCCCACCACCTCCCACCTGTACCTTACTCATCAAGCTCAGGGCATTATCTGTGTTCACTCAGATATTCTCAACTTCTTGCCATTATTATATCTATAATTAGCTAACTAGAAAACTTCTGCATATTTTTTGTACAATCAAGTTTAAATACTGCCTTTTTGCAGAAACCTTCTGTAACACACTGGTAGCATCACACCCCCCTAATCTCCTAGCACAGATGTCATACTCAGTTCTTCCTCTTTTTGTGTCTCCTTGTCAATGTTTATATATTTCTATAACAATATAACACATCCTAAAGATTTTTAAAAATTTGTATACATTTCCATTTTCCTTATTAATTTCCATGGCTTGCTAACACTTATACCACTCATGTCTATACACAAAAAAGTACCCAGTCAATAAATCTTGGCTGAATGAAAATTTTAGACAGTAATACACACAATGGTAAGAATATTAACCGTGAGTCTAACATCCAATCCATTTTCCCATTCTTTATATGGCACTCGGAAAGTCACAAACCTTTTCTAAAACCTCACTTTCCTCATATTTTTAAACTAGGATATGGGACAAACTTAAAAGTTTCCCAAGTTGGACCACAATTGTTCAGGTTTACAGTACAGCTGGTTTTCTTACAGAATTTAAATTGGGATCAAAGACTTTTCACTTTAGCATCTTAAAGCTGAAAAACTAATTTAAGTGTCAATACTTAGATAAACAAACACCTACATTATATATGGTCATGATTTTCTATATATTTTAGTGAAGGAATATCCAAGTTGACGCGATATATGAGAATAGCTGGTAACTATCCCATAATGCAGAAGAATCTTCTTGCTAAAATTAGCAAATTGTTTGACTTTATTTAGATTTGCTCACCTGCCATTTAAATTTAAATCATCAAGCCAAAGAACCACGGAGCAAGAAAGTTATCTTCAGAACATAAAGTTTACCCTTCCCATTTTGTAATTGAAGAAACAAGATATCCAGAGAAATGAAGGGATTTGTTTGAGCTGCAGGGAGATTTGGGAGGCTTTTGAGCTTACCTCTGGGAACTAAAATATATTAAGTATCTAAGTGTATGGAAATAAAGGTTTATATTTTTTCTATCTGCCCTGACCTTTATATACTTCCAAGACATTGCCTAGCCCAAGGAAAAGGCAGAAGAATTTGTCTGACAATCTAGTTTGATATTTCAACAGTTTTTTCCTTCCTTTATTCTGTCATTCTGTGAACTATATTCTTATACAGTTAAACTAATTTTTAAATGTTAAACTAAAGGAATATGGAAATTTCTTAAATGCATGACGAGGATATCTTCCCCAAAACAGCTTTGAATGTTCTCTTCTATAACAAAATGTATGACTGGCCCAAATAGGATACCTTGAAAGTCATAAATATTATGGTAACTTTAGGACTTAAAGATAAATTACCTTGCTTTCTGCTAACCAGCGATGTGGGTCATAGTTAATATCAGGACTAGACGAAAAAACCTACAAAAAAAAAAAAAAGAAATTGTCTATTAGAATTTTTTCTGAATTGAACTTATGTAAGTGAAATTCTTCACCATACCATCCAAAAGTTTAGTCCCTAAATTTAAAGGTTTAAAAAGAAAAAAGTTCAAGTACCCAACCAATTCCAAACCACTATTTATCTAGTATGTCTATGTATGTACACATGTATGTGTGCACATATGTACGCACTGACAGTAAATATTTACTTCAAATACAGACATGAATCAGCTCTCAAGTGTTCTCATTGCTAGAATCTCTGAAGGCTGATTCCACAAAGTTCTGGCAAGCAGCCTCAATTAAACCAGTGTACTTCATTTTTATTTACTTCTCTGCCTCAGTCTTGTTCCACGTAATATATTTCACAGTGGGTTAGATTTAATTACATGGAAACTTAATTCTTTGTCTCATTTATCCTTCTTTAATTTCATACTATGAGGGCCATTTTGTCTCATTAATGGTTGTATAGAACTGACAGAAACTAATCAACATGACTTTGTGTAAACATTGCTTTATATTTCATGATGGTAACAAAATCCTACAATAAACAGGTTGTCTATACCAGCTGCCTTGGTTTCCTTCAGACCAACTCATTTGTAAAATCCTTTGCCATCTGGTTCTGCCTTATTACTAATGAAACGGTGCTCAAAGGTTTTCAATGACTTTATGATTGTAAACACAGAATTTTTTTAGTTCCTACTTTCTTTGAAACAGGTGCTACCTGTGATATTTTTACAGTCTCCTCTGTAGAAATTTTCTGCTTAAAAATACCCTATCCCTTTGCAAGAGACATCTATTCCTATTCTTTTTTTTTTTTTAAGATTTTATTTATGTATTTGACAGACAGAGAGCACAAGTAGGCAGAGAGGCAGGCAGAGAGAGAGGAGAAAGCAGGCTCCCTGCTGAGCAGAGAGCCCAATGTGGGGCTTGATCCCAGGACCCTGGGATCATGACCTGAGCCAAAGGCAAGAGGCTTAACCCACTGAGCCACCCAGGCGCCCCACATCTATTCCTATTCTTAAATATTTCTATACATCCTGATGTGTGTGCTCATGACTCCCCTAAGGAATATCATTAGGTAATTCATTCAGACAGATGATGAATACGTAATGAACGTAATGATGCCGGCCATATGCCATAAACAAGAATGCTGTATTCTCATATCCAACTTTTCTTTCCTCCACTTTTCTCACCATCCAAATCTCACCGCCAACTCTCATGTCTCCCTGACTTCAGTGAAATCCTGCTTCCAGTTCATAGTGTTTTCTTCCTCTTCAGACTCCGCATGTACTTGTCAATGACTGTCACTGACTATATGTTTTATTGTTCTTTTCCATTCATCTGTGTCATGGTTTCAATTAAAACATCAGTAACCAGAGATCAAGTGTTCAAGATTAAAGTCTAAAATAATTTGATAGGAGTATAAGTAATATTCATATTTTGTGATTTTTTTTGCAAATTTATATATAGTTTAGTGTTTAAGAGAACAGCCTTGTCCACTTATAAGTAATGTGACTTAATTTCTCTAAGCTATAAAGCAGGCAAACTGCCTCATAAGGCCAAAGTATAAATTAAATTAAATGAGGGTTAGCACAGCATCTGGCACATAGAACACCATTATTATTACTTACTGCATATAAAGAAGTCATCATCAGGAAATAGATTTCAAGGTCTCTTGCGACAAGAGAACTATAACAACAATTTGTCATAAAAAGTTAAAAGAAACAGGGGAGCCTGGGTGGCTTAGTCAGTTAAGCTCAGGTCATGATCCAAGAGTCCTGGGGATGGAGCCCCAAGTTCAGCTCCCTGCCCAGCAGGGAGTCTACTTCCCCCTCCGCCCTACCCCTACCATTCATTCTTGCTCTCCCTCCCTCTCTTTCTCTCTCTCCCTAGAATAAACAAAATCTTTTTCAAAAGTTAAAAGAAAATCTATATATACATAAATATATAAATATATATGAATATATGACCAAAAAAAGATACTACATAATAATGATACCTAGCATTAGCTGAGTATTCACTAAGTGCAATATATTTCACTCCATAATATACACCTTATATATCTTATTCTACTTTATCCTCAAAATAAGCCAACTTATAAATGGGACATGAATTCTTAGAGAGAAGAGAAATTGCATAACTTGTCCAAGGTCATACATTAGCAATATGGAGATGCAATTTCAGCCAACATCTGTCTTGAGCCAAAGACTATCCTCTTTATGCTCTACCAATGGGTGAATACTCAGACCAAGTGCTATGAGAAAAGCTCTTCAATTATCAAAATTGGTCTGTGAAATGATATAACTTTAATTCAGACACTTTCCTAATTGTTTTATAATAGTGATGACTTAAGTGTCTGTCCTTAAATTTTCAAACACTAATTGCATTTACTAAAGTGGAATAAATAATAAATATGGTGGCTGGAGAAAGAAAAAGTAATCAGATATAATATCAATACTCCCAAGGACTTTTCTCAGGCTCATTTGTTACATATCTATTATCCAATTCATATCATAGCTGTCACTCTCTACATAAAATGACTAAAAATTTCATCAGTAATATACCAAAATCAACAAATGACAAAGAATAATTGGAATTATTCCATTTTTTAAAACACTTTATAAGGACCACCACTCTCCCTTAAATTTCTGAACTATAAAGCACAGAATCAACTTTATTTTAACAACCTCTTGGGTTGTTTATTTGAGGTGAGAACAAATGTTATATTCTTCAGTATTCATTTTTTTTCCCCAAGTTCATAGGAAGGTAATGACAGAAGTTATTTATTAATAGAAAGAGACCCACAACAAAAAAGGTGTACTCTAAACAAAACAACAACAACAAAAAACTTAATAGAATTTCCATTCTTTTAGATTTACTTTCCACCCATCAGTTGGATTGAATTAGTCTTTCTCTAGGAGAAGAGGTGTAAAGAAAGGCCCATTACCAAAATCACTGCATTCCTGAAAGCCTATTTAAAAATTGGGTGTTTTTTGGAATATGTTGGAAGGATAATTTGTGCCTCAAACAGAAAATACTTAAGCAATCTGCAATTTACCCACTATGTTTTAGCCTGTAATTGCCCATAACAAGGTTTATATACCTTATAGCATGATCTAAATAATACCATTTCTATGTCTCTATCTGACTGAAAATAAGCCATCCTGATAGAAATACTTAGATATAGAGTAACTATTTCATTGTTAGTATGTGCTTCTTTTAGATGAAATTAGGATCTTAAGGTCACACATCCTTTAAATATAGGTAAACATGACAAGTCAAATAAAAGAAGCAGCAGCAGACAGGAAAAAGAATAAGCCATCATTATAACAAGCTCTACAACAAAACTGAAAGAGTCCTCTAAAGCCAATTACTCCTCATATTTGGCTCATAGTCCTCTCAAAATGACATCTGAGCATTTCAAAAAATGTAGATAGGGGGCACCTGGGTGGCCCAGTGGGTTAAGCCTCTACCTTCGGCTCAGGTCATGATCGCAGGGTCCTAGGATCGAGCCCCACATCGGGCTCTCTGCTCAGCAGGGATCCTGCTCCCAACCCCCTCTCTGCCTGCCTCTCTGCCTATTTGTGATCTCTGTCTGTCAAATAAATAAATAAAATCTTTAAAAAAAAATTAAAATGTAGATAGGAATTCATATTACAGAAACTCCATCAACTCCACCAAATTCTACCTGTCGAGATATTTCTATTAAAGGTGAATCCTAAGACACCTTCCACTGCAAGTGTGGAAATATAGTTCTACTTTCTTTAAAACACCACATAAGGAGGGGAAAAAAAAAAAAAGAAAAAGGATATGAAGAAAGAGCAGGAAAAAAGAGGAGAAAGAAGCCAAAAACAACAACAAAAAAAGAATGACAAAAAGAAGAAACACCCGGAAAGTATTAAAAACTAAGAAGTCCTTAGGCATTTTAAGTCCTGTCATCTCATCATATGAAACAAATACAGGGTAAATGATGGCTAAATGCTAAGGATTATGGTCCCACTGTATTGAAGCAGTACAATGCAACATAGCAGTACTACGACCTAGACTGAAGGAGGGGCTCGCCTTCAAGGAATTAAAAACGTTCATGATCAATTCTGTTTTTATTTCATTTCATTAGAACTATAAATTGAATAGCAACATTCTGTTTTAAAGATAGAAAAACTCACTTGAGTATATTTGTCTAAACAGGGAAGGCAAATAGCACAGTGCTCATGTGTTTAAGCTCAGGGAGTTAGATCCCCAAGGTCTAAAGTCTTGCTTCTAGCATTTAACTAGATACATGGCCAGGGCCAAGTTACTTAACCTCACCAAGCCTTGCTTTCCCTCGTCTTAAATGAATTTAATCAGAGTACCTAAAGGACAGTAGTTTTAGAGATTAAGGGAGAGAATCCTACAGTACCTGTAATATAACTAGTACTCAATAGATGTTAGCCATTAATACACTAACAACAACAAAAATGGCCTGTGATAATGAAAATCCAGGCCTCTTGACTCCAAGGATATTTTTTTCATCAGAACTGCTGCCTCTCTCCTAAGACATTTTCTTTTACAGAATGTGATAGAGGCAATTCCATGAATTAACGGTACACTTCTCTCCCAGGACCATGCAGTAGATATATAGTATCGCATTCTAAACAGTGCAAGATGTTATTTTGTTTCATAAAACTTTCCAGAATAAAAATGTGACTACCATGTAACTATGCATTAAAATCTTCTTATAATTATATATTAAGAAACTAACTGAAAGGCACAATGAGAACTCATAATTACTTTCAATTTCTCCATTGAGTCCCCAGAGAAAGTTTTACAAGCTGCATCAATTTCCCTTCCTATGACACCAAGAATGGATTCCTGTTCAGTCTCCAGGCAAAGAAGTTGATCCTTGAGCTGCAATCTGGCCTCTTCCATCCTTCTTAAGTGCTCTTCTTCATTGCTTATATGCTTTTCCTAAAACATCAGTAAGAAAAACAGAAGTTAATTATTAAGTAAAGGCAAGAAACTCTTGTAATATCTGTACAACCATCTCAAAGGAGTGCAGTACAAAACAGATCTCTCAGTCTTCTTACTTCACTAAACTAAAATGTTTTGCCTACTCATCAACTGAGGTCAAGTTACAGAGAATTCAGAAAAAGGACACTGAGGGAACTGAGTGAGTAGATACTTGGCAAAGAAAATTAAAGTAATTCTGTAACTAAAAGAAAATGAAGCTAAAAAAATCCTTTACATTTTAATAACATAATGCCATTAATGGACTGGAGAGTAAAAGCTGATGCCATGAACTGACTTTGAGTTTCCAATAAATATTAGTGAAACAATAGAAAAAAATATAAAATAAGTTTATGTTAGTTTAATTTCAAAAAAAAAAATACCTATCACTATCTTATTTCATCAAAACATAGTTTTTAAAAAGTCCAAGTTTTCAAACGCCAGTCATAGTGCATAAATGTTTTGAGTCATGTAAATTTGATAGAAGCAAGATGGAAGTACTTCTCAAGTAAGCAAATACATTTAATAAAAAAAAAAAAAAAAGGTTTCTAAGAATCCTTTAAGAGCTTACAAGGACCTGGAGACCCATTCTAGGCAAAGTAAGTCTCAATCATGATTGCACAATTTCATTATTAGAGAAATTCTAACAGAGTAGCACAGACCTGGAAGAGAGTAACAAAATCACCAGAATTATAAGTATAAACAATGGCCCCAAAAGTCATGGCGGCTGGCTAGCTTTGCTTTCACTCATTACACAGTAATCTGATCATTCTTTACCGACCCTAGTAAATATAATACAAGCAGGAAAATAATGTGGTCAAAAACTCCAGCTTGAAGTTAAAATAACAAGAGATCCATCCACTCAATTAAAACTTACTTATGAAAGGAAAGATAGCATTTTAGCAGAATCACAAGGTATTTCCTTTCAACTCTGCCCAAAGAAGAAAGTCCTTTCACAAACTTCTACCCTTCCCTCTAGCTTCATACCTCCCTCCTTCCCACTCTCTCATATATCAACTACTTGCAGCTTCTCAAATATGCCTTCATATGTCTTTCCAACCACTTCTGATGTACACAACACTGCCTGAAACTGTACTATTTGAAAATGGGCCTGGTAGCTACAAGACAGCCTTTATCTTGATGACTACATCCTAGCAGTCTGTAGCTCAGCTTTGTAAACTTAGGAATTGGATCTTCTTTCCCTTTTGGTACCCTGAGTGGAAGCATCTTTCAGCAAAAGTGTAACATTAAGCTCACGAGAGACTAATGTACAAACTAGAATGCCACTCAATTAACGACATCAGTTTACAATAAGAACCATAACCACCATATGGATCAGAATGTTCCTGTCAGCATACCCAGTACATTTTCTCCCTGCAGACCAATCTGGATGGGAAGGCAAATTATAATCAGAATGTTGCTTAATGAATAGGGAACTGGAGCGAGGGGAGTTTGTTTTATGAAACAATGCGTATATGGCATCATGCTAATGGCAGTCTGGTGCGTCCACTGGCACATCAGGGATTTACAAACCACAGGAACAAGTGTTCCATTCTCTTGGGCGGTGTTTTGATGGAGACTGAAGTACATCTCCCTAACTTTCTCCTCTGTTCACCTTCAGTTTCTGTCCAAACTCTCCCTCCCGACTGATAAGGCATCACTTTAGAGATATTGATATCTTCACAGAATCTTGCTCTCATCTAGGAGCCTTTCTGAAAAAATTAACATCCTGGCTCTGAACAACATTTGAAGACTTTGAAGCTTACTTACTAGAAAGCAACCTTTCCGTCAAGTCCCCCAAGAGGTGAGGCTACTCGGGCCTGTACTATTGGCTACCACCACCTACACTTCCTAGCCTTCAAAATTTAGCCTTCGATACTTAGTCTCCTTCCTTTACTGATTTCCCAAAGCAGAATGTTCCTAGAGCATCTTATGTATATCACAGTTTTAAATAAATAAACATATATATATGTGTGTGTGTGTGTGTGTGTGTGTATATATATATACATATATATATATATATAGCTGTAATATAATTACTCTTCCACCAGCCTCCCTCAATAAACTGCTAATTTCAGGAGACTGCAAAACATGCTTATAATTACCTTTAAGCTCCACAACTTTGTTGAGTAAGTGATTTAAAGTTTTTCAAAGACTCAAATTCAATACTAGAAAAATCATTTCATCAGTGACCATGCAGACCTATATACACTCTGAAGCTACTGATGTGTGCTTGGAGGTTCCTTCTATGCATACGTATACCTCCAGAATGCTGCTGTATTCTCACTGGTGTGATATTGATAAAGAACCCAATCAGTGTTACTGAAGTATTTAGAGGACAACTATTGATAATCTACACCCAGGGAATTCACAATGATGTTCTAACTGTTCTTTCTTTTCTCATTTCCTTCAGAGCCAGCTTTCTTCCATCCACTATCCACTATTTCTATATTTTGATATTCCTAAAAATGTTGATATTGTCAGGAAAGGCTCTATAAATTCAATCTCTTTAGCAAAGACTGAGAAATTCATTATCCACTTCACTATCTTTTGTGAGACAGTCAGCAGGCCAGGTCCAACTGACCTCCCTTTGAAATAAAACTCACAGAACTATGAACTCACACGGACCTTGAGATCAATTGGTTTAACTACCTATTATTCTTTCAAGAATCTTTTGTTTGACATTTCTGACAAATGGTCATCTGACCCCCTACATGAACAGCTCTAGTTTCAATGAATAAAACACTTGACAAAACCATAACATCCTTTCATTTGTCTAAGTGCTGTACTCAAGAATTAAAGTAAATAGATGAATCCCCTACCCTCACTTAATCACATTCCAGGTAAATCCATGTTCTTTTATTTAACTGGGTTTCAGACACTGCACCACACTAGTTCTCCATCTCCATGCTCCAAAACCAAAAATCTAGGAGTTAAGTAAGTAAGCTCTTCTGTACCACTATGTATTGACTTATTCACTCATTCAACAATTTTTATAGAAAGCCTAGTATGGTAAGACATTCTCCTGAGTACTAGGGACAGAGTGAATAATTAAGGCTCCTGTCCTCATATAGCCAACAACTATCTCCATGAAATGTCATCCCTTTCATTTTGCCTCATTCTTCTGGCTTGAGAATACTTACCTGAACACTAAAATGTTCCCAATGAATTAGCTTTTTCTCCCAGTTTCATGTTTCAGAAATAGCTCTACAAATGGAATTAGCACAGCTCATTCTGAGGGAGAAGTGGAAAACTGGCTGGCTGACATCAATCCAATCATCCTGTCTGATTTGAGGATACATGAATTAATAAGGGGAGATGATAATATTTAGGCACTATTATGAATAGTTCTTGGTTTTCTAGAGAATTCAGAAGAAGTAATTCTACAACAAGACTAACCAAAAGCCATCTTTTCCTATAGAATTAGAGGTAACTCGAGGTATTTTAGAGACTATTTAGGAATTTGGAAGAAAAAGTGGCTTTGGAGCACAATGGATAGGGCATTGGATTTCCAGGAACATGGAAGACACAGTCCAACTTCAATGTTTCAGCATGAATGGTCATGTATGTCTAGGTCATGGCACCACAAAAGGAGCTTCTCTGTGGGGGAGAAGATGGGATTAAATAGATAGATACAGATGAAGCTGACTATAGCAGTCTGTATACTCCAAAAAGAAAGATATCCTATACCATGGCTGAGTTTGAGAAAGAACCTTAGAGAATAAACTCAACCCTAAATTACACAAATGAGGAAACCAAAGTTCAGACAAAATAAATAACTGAACCAAAGTTAAAGAGGCCATAACCCATAACCTGAGTCTCCTGGCTCCTGACTAAGTGCTCACTATTAAAATACCAGATATTAAAATACCAGTTGAGTTCTTAAAATTGGAATTTAGAAACCCAATGTGAAAAATTCAGGAAAGTTATCAGCCAGTTACATGGGGACTAATACATCCATAAAGTAGAAAAAATAACAAAAAAATACTTCTGAATAAATATAGTTATAAATGAAATATGTGACGTAGTGGGAAATTCAGAACAGAACACACACACACACACACACACACACACACGAGAGAGAGAGAGAGAGAGAGATAGAGGAACATCAAGCATGTATAAGAAGCCATCTATCTAAACTAGAGATGTACCCTATGTACCCATAAAATCTGCTGTTGGCATTTTTAATCAAAAAGTATACTAATCACACAGTAAGCAAGGTATAGTTCCATTGTCGAGAGAGCAAAGACTTTATGAAGCTTCCATTTCAGGACAGGAAAGGATTACACTGTTGACATTTGTGTCTAAAGCAAATTAAAAAAAAATACTGCTCACAATCTCTTCAAACACACATATGTGCACACATACAATGTTGACTGGCTTCATCAATGGATAAGCAATTCAAAGGATGAGAAATTTTCCTCTACTTATATATTTATGTTGCAGCACAGTCTTTACAACTCAGAACATTCATTTTCCCAAAGGCTGTAAAGATTATAAGGAGACAAAATCTTAAAGGAAATAGAACTTCAATAAACTAGAGCATATCCAAAACATTATCTCCTTGGCCAAAGTTTGTGAGATCCCTTCAATGTTCTAAGAGGCCCAGAAGAGCCACTTTATTTCCAATACAGTTGGCTACAGGACATGAAAACAGGTCTTCACATACCTAAAAAGAAAAAAGCTTAGAAAATAAAGCACACTCACATGACTTAAGTAAATCATTAAGTACAAAGCTACTGTTAAAACAAAAAAAAAAAGCTATTTTTATTTATTTTTTTATTGAAAACTATTATTGAAAACTAACTTGAACAAGCAAGTATGACAATATTTCAGCCCCAAGGTCATCTTTAATACATTAGCAGTGGGTGAGGGAGAGATAGGATGAGAGGCAGAGAGAAATCAAATTATATTAAAGGCTAGAATTAAAACAAACAATGTAATTCAAAGTTATTGAAAGC